TTGTGAAAAACCACACAAGCGTTTATAATTTTTCCGGCTACTTCTGGCATATAATGTAACACTCGATCTTTTAAACAACATCTGGATCATTCTTTCAATAAAGCATTGTATCGTTCTACCAAACTTCTTACTCTCTTATGTTGTACGTTAAAACGATACACAACGATGGGGGGAGGTACACGGGCTATATGGGTACAGTCTATGCATCCTATTACTCCAGCAAATCCGAAATCGTTGCAAAATCTATAAGAAAATCTTCTAGGTATAATTAAAGCTCTTGAAAGTTTTTGGAAACCTTAATCATTGCATTTAAAATCTCTGGTCTATTCAATGCTTCTGTAACTTCTCGGACACTTCGGCTTACACTTTGTTTTGAAATATCGATATAAGCATTGTATCCAACATCTGTCTGATACAAAACGCAAAGCTGCAAGAACCTAAACATTTTAAGTAGAACCTGCATTCTTCTTAAATGTTTACTTTTTATAGAGTACCTAATATACTTGAATGAAGGCAGTTTTGTGACAGACATACTTAGATACCTGTGTATTTACAGCTAGATCTGTCGATCTTAGTTTTGGTCGCATAGGTGGTTCCACCATCTAACAATATTATAATTAAACAGTCTCTTATTAACTTTAAATAATTTGATAAATTGTTTTTCGGGCAATTTAGTTAAGGGATTGCCAGTACATCGCGAAGCAGGTTCCAAATCTTCAACATCTTCGTTTAAAATATTTTGTATTACAAAATCATCCATTTTTTTAAAAATATTTAATCACCAAAAAAAAAACGAACCAAAATAGTAACAGCACACGTTAAAATATTTCAGAATGTAAAAAACACACAAAAACATACAAATCTCTCCCAAAATGAGAAATCTCATCGAAAAAGTATCAACTGTTTAAAGTCACGCGTTTCCATGTGGATTTTCTCATCGCTGAGTTGAATCATTGTGTCAAGAGTAGACTTTTAAAAAAATTCACTAAAATCACGTCATTTTAGTGAAAAAAGTCACAAATGAGAAAACTCACTCGGTCAAGAGTAAGCTCCCAGGTCGGGCACACTATCTACAGCACTGGCGAGAAATGTTATAGTTATATATGTTGATAATGAGAATTATTGCAAAATTTTTAGTTTGCATTTTACTGTCTACATAATAATCTTAACAAACGTGTAAAACTTGACAATAATCGGACCAGTATTTTCGGGGATTAGTAATCTGTCTAATAAAAATCGACCCAAATGACAGATGAAAGAGAGACGACAACTTACTACTTTTTCGAAATTTAATAAAGATAATGAAACGTCGAAAAAACATAAAAATAGCAATTCGCCGTATAGACCCTATTACAGTACTTCTTTAGGATACGCTCGAGAAGTAAAAATGAAAAACATTATACAGACACAACCTTTTTTGAACAGTTTAAACATTTTTGACTCTTATTACTTTTCCATACAACCAGCCAATCATATTGATCAAAAGCTCTTGTATTTCAGATACTTTATACATTAAAAAGAACACAATTCTATAAAAATATATGTTCCATTCAAGGACATATCTAAGAGGATGAAGGATCATATCAAAAAATAAGTAAACCCTCTCGCCAAAGGTCATAAACAGTAAGTAAAAAGAAAAATGGAACGTGTTTTACGAGAGATGGCGCGTACAGTAGTGAACAAGCACACAACCAGTGGTGTACCGAGACTATCTTAAGTGACCTGATTACTTACAACACACCCAATGATCACATCAAAAACAATCGACAAAGAGTACTTATCGAAAATCAATGTAAAAAAAAATGTTATTTATTTATTTAGGTAAACTTAGTTATAAAATATTTTTTTAAAATAACCTCTATAAGTTAAAATAAAGATATGTGTGGACTGCTAAAATCTACATGATATTCTTAATATACACACAAAATTTCATAACAATCGATTCGGTAGTTTCGGAGATTACGTGTCTAACAAAAATGGACACAGACACTAGATAGATAGATAGAGAGAGAGAGAGAGAGAGAGAGAGAGAGAGAGAGAGAGAGAGAGAGAGAGAGAGAGAGAGAGAGAGAGAGAGAGAGAGAGAGAGAGAGAGAGAGAGGAGAGAGAGAGACGGAAACGGGAGACCACTTTTTTCGTACTCTAGAGGTCATGAGACGCCGAGAAAATATGAAAGTGGCATTTCGGTCGATGGACTCGATTACTATACCTACTTCCTTAGTTTAACCTTACCCGAACCGACAATTTCCAGGACCATCAATAATAATCGACAGAATCCTACAACAGTTTGAAACGCAAGGTTACACTATAAACAAATTCTGCAAGGGCCAACGGAACACCCATGGTGCTAGTGGTAAAAAAATTGAAGCTGTTCTTATGTTTCAACGTTTAATATGAGTCAGTATAAAATTTATAGTTGCAAATAAAGCATGTTTTAACGTTTGCTTTGAACCCAAAATCAGAATAAAGACTATGTCAATGTTTTCTTTTTATTTCAGTACAATAAGGTGTAATAAATAAAAAAGGATTTAAAAACAGGTTTTCATTCTCTACAATGTTTGTATTTAATTTTTTGCTCTAAAATAATTAGGAGAGACAATATTTTCATGTATCTGTTTTTACACGTAAAATACCTATGTTCCAAATACAATTCAACTACACCCGGTATATCATTTTGAATAAATGCAGTGCAATACTAATAATAACATTCCTGTATACTCAAATTTTGGCGAAACTGGGGAGAACCGTTTTGGATTTGATCAATAAAACAAATTTCCAAATATAAAAGCACTGGTAAACTACAAGTACAGGGTTTCTATAAATGACTATAGGGTCGAAATAAGTTATGGATATGTGCCGCCTATCACTTTATGCGAATGTTACTAAATGCCCAAGGATTCACGACAAATAGCAGATACATCTGTATAACTGATTGCCTAAATTCGTCATATATCAAAAAATAATAAAAATAATTCATTACAATAAAAAGAAAGAAATTTATTGTGGTTAAACGTCAACAGTCACTCTCTTTTTAATTTGTAAAATGTTCTGTAACATGCTTACGTCAATGTTTTGGACCCATGGTTCAATTTAATGTTGTAACAGGAACTCCTGACTGCTGAGACAATCTTACCAAAGATGTTTGTGGATTCTGACTGAGTCATCTCAAATCCACACCACCTTCCTCAGAATCTGAAGGGAGATTTTTCTTTATTGAGATTGTCAATTCGAACAAATGTGTTGATTACATTTCCTTTAATGTGAGCCTCTAACGATGTTTCTTGAATTTACAAATCAGCGTATTTGGTCAGATACTATTGATTACAAGCAATTGTAAAATGCACCTACTCTCTGTTTACAAATGTCCTATTGCGATAATAAGACAATGAAGGTGTCTTGTTCAACAGAATAAACGATTTTCACGGTCTTCGCTTCCTAGCCGAAAAACAAAATTTTCGAACGCAAGCACCAAGAGTTTTGAAAACGACCGTTTTATTGTTTTGAGATTGTATCGACGAGAATTACTGTAAATGATACTTGAAAAACGTTAGAACAATAAAAGCGATGACTTTAACTGACAGAGTGACAGGTTACAAATGACATTAATGACAAGTGAAAACTGTCCTAATGAGGTAATATTTCAGCGAAGCGGGATTTTTTAAATCCATGGCCAACTACGCCCTTAAAATCATCTATAAAAGCCCTGTATAAAGTTATAATATATTGCATATTTTAGGTAAGATTTATTGGACAAAACTTTGAGATGACGTCATCAATTTTTTGGGAGGGGATAACACGATACATTTTTACCATGCTTACAACAATCTTAACACGTTTACAAGATTTCAGATTTATCGGTTTTGAAGTTTCAAAGTTAAATTGTAAAATATTGTTATTATAATTTTGATTTTTTCCAAAAATGTGGCCACAGGCAGACGACAGACAGAAGACAGAATATACGGAAACGTTATTAACGACCGCAGCGCGCGGCAGGCCGTTTGAAAAGACTCCGTCTGTGCCAAAATATATGCCTGTATTTTTCTAAATATTACCTAATTTTTAAAGATGAAGAAGTTTTGTTTAACGCGTATTTGGTGTACATCAAATAAAACATTTTAATGTAAAAGGCAAACTTTGTTTTAGTAACAACAAATTTAGTTTCTAAACGAATTTAAATAAACTTTGTCCAAAATATCTACCGGCGTGGCGACAATATATCCCTGGAAATAAAACTAGCTGTCCCAATTCAAAGAAAGAAGAATAAATTACCAGAAACAGCTCTTCAGTGTATCTACCCGTTTCTTCTTGAAGCTATTGTAAACGGAATGATTAAACACGAAACCACGTAATCTGCGACTAAAGAATATGCGGTTTCAACGATAACCCTTATTCTAATTTAGCATGCAGGACGATCCTAAACAGTCTCTAAAAATTCTTCATTAGAAAATACATTTTCCCCTTTATTTCACAAAAAAAAAATGTTTTTTTTTTATCGTTCACTCATTAGGGCATCATCCGTCCTCTTATTAATACTTATTTAATACTCTCCTTAGCTCCATTAAATTCATTTAACGCGCGAGCGGAAATTGCCAAAATATGGAACGTTTAAAAATGCAAAAATTACAAAAAATTATGAAACATGCGAAATATTTATGTAATATGCATTTACCATATAATAGGTATTTGTTGATCACTATAGTGCAAAATGGAAAGACAATTGTTTTGGGTTTTATTGTTATATATATTTTAAATCCATCGGCATTTATAGTTATTAAAACACCACATAACAAGGTCAAGTAGTACAAAACAAAATTAGTAATTATTATAATTAATGCTGCTTCCTGAATCCATTAAATTACGAAACAACATCCACATTCTTATTAATTCAACAAGTCTAGATTAAGTTTACGAAATCTCTATACACGTTGTGCAATTTTTTTTGTAAAAAACACAGACAACTAAGGAAAACGTTTTGTTGACAATACTTAAATGTCATTGAATTTAACTTTAATCTTAGTGATTGCCGTAATATTTTTTGTAGTTGCAGATATAATCCTTGCACTTTTAGTTAAACTAGTTATGCCCAAGTATATAAATGAGGAGGGCTGGTATTCTGCTGATGGATCAGATTATAATTTTGATGACGCAGCTGAAACTTGTCCTTGTTTATACAGAATTTTTCTATATGGAACCGAGGAAAAAATTAAATTCAGATCCATAGACAAAAAAGCTCGCCGACAAAGATCCTTAAATGACATCTATACTGCAGACATGGAAAAATATCCTTACTTAGCATCCTTAAGCATTGCTGCCTTCAATGACGATCCTAAGGAGAAAATATTCGTTTGTAATGGTTTGATTGAATCAGCTGAATGGCTCTTAACAAGTAAAATAGCACAAAACAAGAACCGCAAAAAGTTAAAGGTTTATTTGTAGGCCAAAGCTGTATAGATCATGATTCAGATTGGTGCAATTTAACCGTACGGTCTATGAGTCCATTTTGGTCGCATCTTGGACATGAACATGATGTTGTTGATGTTGTGAAACATTCCAGTGGCCTAGTGCAATTGAAAGTTTGGCCAGAATTTGCAGAAGCCGCTGTGCCCTCACCCCCCATTAAATATCCTTTTAGTGGTAATTGGACTTATGCTGTTTCTTTTGGATGGAATGACAAAATGTATCAAGAAAGCCTGAATTTCAGACAAAAATTTAAAAGGTTTCATGTTGAAGAATGGACTTCAATAAATTCTGGTTCGCAGTCCATACAAGTTTGCAAGAGATGTGAAAAATTTTCTAGCAAACCCGTACTGACAAGTTGTCATCAATTAATTGCCATGGAATCCTTTGGCAGAAATATGTGTAATGGATTTGTAGATCCAAAAACAAATTTTGTTCAGAAATTGGATGCAAGTGATGAGTGTTTCCTGATATATAGAGATACTCATAAATTTAATGACATAGAAGTCTGTCAGAGTCAGATACAAGTTGAAAGACTCTTTCCTTATGATTTGAATAAAAGTGAAAGTAGTTTGAACTCCTAGTTTTAAAGAAGAATCAGCTATAATTTTTAGTTTCTCTGCATGATATAGAAAATTACAAGTCGACCAACTCCGCTTAGTAACTGACCTTAATAATTAGTCCATATTAGTTATTAGTTATGTGTGTTGTAGGCAATACTTACGCCGTAATAACAAGAGTTTAATAATGTTTAATTATATGAAAAATAATAAATTTGCTGGTTTTTCCAAGTAATAAGTTCGTTATATATCATGGTACATAGTACTACGATCAAAAATCTTTGGTCGTCAATGTTGCTTAGATCAGTGGTCCCCAAACTTTTTTCTGTGGCGACCCCCCAGATTTAATTAAAATGTCAGCGACCCCTAATTTATTTTTATTAATACTAATAAAGAAACGAAACCTTTTTAAAAATTTATTTTAGGAATATTTAACAAAAATATTATGTTTAACTAAATATTAAATAAAATATGTTACATTCAGGGTTGCTAAAAAGTTTACAGCTAAATATCTCCAGAACGGTGAATCAGAACTCACTAAAATTTGGTACACAAGTAAAAACTGAATTCTATCCTCTGAAATGTCATTCAAATTTCCATCAACATTTGTTTTGGAGATATATGACCAATTTAATTTTTTTTTAATAGCACGAGGGGTCACATTTAATATTAATTAAAAAAAAACATTTTTCTACATTCAGAAATGTAATACATGTCTTTCTTTATTTGGCATTAAAAGGTATAAAAAAAAATATTAAAATAATACAATTTAAAAAAATATCTCCTGTCTATCACATCTCAAATATTTTCGAATAGGGATATGTAAGGAGGTTGACTTCAACTTCGTCAAAACGGTCTAGCTTTAAAATAATCATTTCTAGACGATTTGAAAACTTTTTCATCAAGAAAGAGTACATTGTTTTATTAAGAGCAAAAGTGTTACTTTTCGTTGCGAGCTCTGTAAGTTTGACGGCGGAACGAAGCGAGGCCGACAATACAGACGAGGCACAGAAAGGACTTTTACTCCAACTAAAACATACTATTTGTTCTTCAAACGTCTCAATCAAGTTAAAATGTAACACATTTCTTTTTACATAACCTCACTAATCCCGGTATCACTACATCATACCACCACACAACCTGACAATCAGGAACTATATATAACTATCACTTTTTCCCCATATTAACCGAATTGAATCACAATTGCAAAGTTTTATCTTGATGTTTTATTATCATTTATTTGAAGCTCGTTTGAACGAAAGGGTGTTGATGTTCTTTAAAATTTCCGCAGAAAATAGTTACTTTAACAAGGCAGGAGGGTCCTAGTAGGAGTACACCACGGCCAACTTGTGAGAAACACTTCAAATCGAAAATGGGAGGCTTTATATATGCGTTAGCGAATATAAATGGAGGTGCCGATGGTTATGAAATGGTCCTGACGCTCACACCTATAACATTCCAGGTTTCTCGTACCAGACACACCATTCTTTCGTCCTTGAGATAGGCCATCTATTTGTTGTGACAGTTTTTTCAATAACTTTTTTATCTCGTCGTTTTCTTCCTTCTCTAGTTCTGCCACTATGATTTTGTTGCACGTTTTTACAGAATTGTATACAGTTTTCACTTCCAGTGCACGAATCAGAGAATCAGATGATGTCCGCACCTGGATACTGGTAGAATTTTCTTAAATTCAGCGTCGCGAATACCGTTGATAAAGGTTTCTGCCGCAAGACGCTCTTGAAAAGTTGGTCGTACGTCGAAGTATGTAAGTCTTTTGACATCTGCCTCAAATTCTTCTTCTGTGTTCTTGTCTTTACTTAGGCTGTAAAAACTTGTTTCAAATTTTCATCCCCATATCGAGGTTCTAGACCAACAGTCAGGGCACTGTATCTGTTGCTATCTTCTTGGGAAAGAGTTTGGTGCATCTTTACCTCTGCATTCGCAGATTTATTACCAGGACTGTGGTGCATCTAAAACGGTCTGGAACTGTAAACAACCTCTCAACTAACTGAGCAGCAAATCAGAACTACTCTGTGCTTGGTGCCAAGACATGAGAGAATACAAGAAAAAGAAATGGCAGACACCCTTACTAAAAAAAGTTCGAAAGCTTCATTTATCCAGAACCCTACTGTGGTCTAACGAAAACCCACCTGCTTCTGAAATCTATGAGTGGAAAGAAAAAGAATCCCACAAGAAACAAGTTCCGAATCAACAGCATGCGAAAAAGTTTGTGACATTTTTGTCAAAGGAGACTAAAAGCTATTCGATTTGACAAATAATGAACTTAAACTGATAACAAGTCTGCTTACACATTAAAATTATGTGAATTTTACCTCAAACTCAAGGAGGAAATTGATTGTATTACGACGAGGATAGACTAGGTATGGAGAAATTCGGCTAATAGCTAACAGCGACGAGAATCGACGATAAGGTAGAGGGCACATGGAAGGTTTTTGCGTAAAGATCAACAAACGAACATAGGGAGAAAAGGACATTGTAAACTGATGATTAATATGTGCTGCAATTCGTAAGCTCTACTGTAGAACAGAAAGTGAAAATTCAACTGTTAGAGTGTACAGATTTTGCAGAGGGGTATGTGCAAAAAGCTCAAATCGCTATTCTCAGAGGTGTATTGTGAATAGAATTCAACCGTCCCAGAACTTGCTATCTAGCTGAACATAAGCAATAGAGTCATAATCAAGCTTGGACCTGATTTGACTTTCATAAATTTGCAAAAGCATGTCTGTATCGGCTCACTATTGGCAGTGGGTTAATGTCTGTAACAAGCCAAGGCCCTTGTGATATTCTTAAATAAATTCTCTAATATAACCCTGCCAAGTAAGTTTCTGATTGAAGGAGAGTGCTATGCTATATACTTGACTGTAGTTATGAAAGTAATGTGTAATGTCTTAAACGGAATTTCAGCAGTTTTCTGGTATACAAGTTAGTTCTTCCATTATAATGGGCGAATTCACTTTATCTTCTATCTATACATAGTTTAAAACAAAGTCTCTGTCTGTTTAACTGTATGTCCGAATGCAATACATTCAAAAACTACTACACTAATTTTCATGCGATTGTCACCAATAAATAGAATGATTCATGGTTAAGGTTTTGGTGTATAATTTATGAAGGTTTTTTGTTTTTTGTAAATAGAGTAGAGTAAGTAGAGAAACTAAAAAACTAAACTTCCGATATTCTACGAGTATATGCAACACAACAAACGAAATCTAACTTCCAGGTTGCATATCTGATTTCCATAAAAATCCGAAGACCTTGAATTATTTGACTGATAAAAACTGAAAGTTTCACCAAATGTGCATTAAATCGAACCAAATAAACGATTAATATAACAAGCCTAAAACTTGTGAAATAAAAAATGTATTCAATAATGTGTGGGTCCACCGTGATTTCTAATGCACTCATTTACTCGGCAAGGCATGCTTGAAAGAAGATGGTTTATGGTGTCCTGTGAGATCTGGTCCCAAGCTTTCTAAAGCCGCATGCGAAGGTCATTTAAATTATTCCGGGGATGCTGCAAGTTACCTAGAGGTGCGCTATGATATCCCACACATGTTCGATTGGTGACAAATCTGGTGAACGGACAGGCCAGGGAAGAACTTCAACATTATGTTGTTGAAGGTACTCAGTTGTGATTCTTGCGTGCATTGTCTTGCTGAAATAGGGGTCGATGTAACCCTCTGAGGTAAGGAACTGCAATCGACTCTCGTACACTATTGATGTTTCCTCTTGCATTAAAATTTCCTTGAATGAAAACTAGAGTGGACCTGCCACCTTGCGTTATTGCCCCCCAAACCATCACGCCTTTTGTGAGAGCTGTATGGCGTTCAACAGCGAAATTCAAATTTCGGCGTTCTCCACGCAATCGCCTCATCCTCCTACGTCCATCATGAGCCCAAAGACAAAACCGAGATTCGTCTGAGAACACTACCCGATGCCATTCGTGGTACCAATTTGCTCGCTCGTGCACCATTGCAACCTACGAGTACGATATCTTGGTGTCAATGGGAGGTAAAGAAATGGTCCATATGAACGCAACCCAAACGACCTTATTGGGTGATAAACTGATGACATGGAGATCATATGCTCCAACGCACCCATCCAATCAGTTGCAATTGCACGAGTGGTAGAACGTCTGTCTCGTAGGGCAGCAATTCGTAAATGACGATCTTCGCGTGCTGACGTTCTTTGAGGACGACCAGATCCACGAATTTGCTCATGCACTTCTTCCTCAGATCACCTCCTCCAACACTGCAACACCGTTGAAACACTACGGCCTATACGGTCCGACATTTGCCTTATTGAAAACCCGGCTACTCTCATACCGCCAATGCGTCCTTTTTTCAAACTCACTCAGTTGATGAAAATGAACCGACTCACGACGTCTTGGCATGTTTGGAAGTTGTGTATGTTACACCGCCTACCCTCTTCGGCCTCGTTAATTTTCCCGTGACTAAGCTATGAATACACAGTTGTCTGGTTACTGATTAAAGGAGGAGGCACCGTCTCTCCTAGTTTCGATGACAACGAAATTTAAACCATCAATGTGACAATATTTTGCAAATGAGACTGTCAAGACTGGATTTATGTTTATTTATTTTTTTTATAATATTTTTGATAGCAGACATTATTTTTGCATTTTGTATTGGATTCCTTTTACGAAAGTCCATTCGTGAACGCAACACATTTCCTGCAGATGGGACAAAAGTTCGTTTCGAAAAGGCTGTTCGCATGTGCCCTTGCTTACACGGATATTATCCAAATGGGGCGAAAGGCACTTTATCATACAAGGTAACCGAGGTAACTATCTCAAAGGAAAAGAGCAAAAGATCTGTAGATGAATTTGCTACTTCACACATGAAAAAATATCCATTTTTGGTGGCTCTGAGCTTACCTGCATATAAAGATGATACAGGACACAAAATTTTCTCTTGCAGTGGTTTGGTTTTGTCAACCAAGTGGATGTTAACAAGTAAGATTTTGGACAATAAAAAAATTATTTTAAAATTTTTTTCAAGGCGAATCTTGTGTTCAAGACGATTTAGAATGGTTCAATTTAACAGTGCGCTCTGAAAGTCCATTTTGGGGGCATCTAGGTCGAGAGCACGCTGTTATTAAGGTTGTTCGATCAAACTACGATGGTTTGGTACAACTTCAAATATCACCAAAATTTTCTGAAAGAATTGTTCCACTTCCACCCATTAAATACCTCTTTACTAATAAATGGAACTATGCCGTTTCTCTAGGTTGGAATGACAATATGTATCGCCAAAAACTCGGCTATAGATACAAACACAAAGTGTTTGATGTCGAAAAGTGGAAAACAGGAATTTCTAAATCAAAATCCACGTTGACATGTCTGAATTGTGGAAAGTTTTCTAGTAAAGTATTACTGACAACTTGTCATCAAGTAGTTGGAATGGAGTCTGTCGGCCAACAAACGTTTTCTTTGTCTAAAAACCTAGCATCAGAAATGCAAAATGCATGCAGCCAATGTTATCCCATACATCAGGATATTGCAGATTTTGATTTTGAAGATGGAGATATTTGTCATAATTATAACTGAAGTAGTTTACTTTTACCTTGTAATAAAGTTTTCTAAGTAATAATAAAAACTGTTAGTATTGGAACTCTTTTAACTGATGTCTATTCTTATGGGAGCACGTATCCGATGAATGTATTTTGTTTCTAATTAAAGTTTTAAATTTTATCTTCAAAGGTATTTCATAAACTGTGTCCTAACTGAATTAGTTCTTTCAGCTATTTCTGTTTATTCATACGTCAGTATCAGTGTCTGCCATTTAATTCTGTGTAAAAAAATGACCAAAATTTTTTGCTCGCGACGGTGTGTTATGTATGTCATAAATTACATATTAAGGTAAGAAGTAACGTATTAATAAAACAAATATAAAGAAGTGCTTGTAAAAAGGAAAGTTTTTCATTTTCCGAATTTTGTTGTTTCTGAACCATAAAGTAGTAATACTCTTGTAGTGTATAACAATAGTGTGTTATTTCTTTTTCAGTCAGGTCTACCACTGCCATCGTCTGTGTTTGTGTCAGAAATTGAAGCAAGTGAATGGGGAACAGTTTGAACAATTTCTATAGAATAAATTTTTACTCCAACGTATTGTTCTGTTATTGAATACTAGCTGACCCCGTGAACTCCGTTTCACCTACAATTTAATTTTGAATCTGCAAAATCGAATGCTTTGAAATCTTGCAGATGTTTTAAACATATGATAAGCATAATAAATTTGTATTCAAAATATATTTACTTATCCCCTCTAAAAAATTGATGACGTCCGCCCAAAATTTTGCCAAATGAATCCTATCTAAAATGTCCAAAATAGGATGAGACTATACTTGTGATTTATCATTCCATTCATATTTTTTAGTTTTGCTTATAGGGGGTGTCTCAAAAAAATTAATCAATGGGTCAATTTATTTTATTGATTGAATCAAGAAACTGAATTTTGAAATATTGCAGACGTTTTGAAGTTACTGTTTGACATGGTGGGTTTTCAATCAAAATATATCTGTTTATCAAGCCCAAAAACTTAAAGACGTCATCTCAAGATTTTGCCGAATAAATCCTATCTAAAATGTGGAAAATATCATCAGTATATTTTCGTAATTTATCACTGCATTCATATTTTTTAGATTTGCTTTTACAGTGACTCAAAAAAATATATGGATCAGTCAATTTATTTTAGTGAATAACTCAAGAGTTGCAAAAATGAATACTTTGAGATCTTGCAGACGTTTTAAAGTTATTGTAAGCATGGTAAATTGTTAAGAATATTTATTTATTCCCCCCAAAAAATTGATGGAATGGCTCACTCGATTTTCGCAGATAATTTTGGGAATACAATACAGTTATTTTTAGTATTACACTGCACCAATCCAAGGTGGTATATCTACGTGTTGATAGTAAATGTTGATTAGGTCATCACAAAATTGTGTGAAGAAAAGACTCAACTCGAAAATGCTGAATATGTTTCATTATACTTTTGGTGCGAAGGAAGTTCTGTCGAAACAACGTTCGATCAATTTTTTGACAATGGTTGATATAAATAAAACTCAGTAGATGCTCATACTCGAAATACGAAGTATCTACTCGAATATCAAATCAAAATATTTCTAGTTTTTCTAGATGATACTAATACTTCAGTAAGTAACAGTTGATGCTCAAGTAGCATCTCGATACAACAAAAAAGGACAACAGTGACAGTGTTCAACCGTCAAGGCAAAAATCGAGTCACCAAAATATAAGTTAGTATGGGGTAGACACCTTGAGATGGGAATCTCTATGGCCAGTGTTAGAAAAAATGCACTGCACAATTTATGAATAAATAAAAGTTAATTACATGAAAAGTTTTCGATATTCCTGCTCCTAATGTGTTTTTCAAACTGAATGCACCTTTTGACGACGTTTCACATTTATGAAAGTCACCATGTTTAGTTAAAATTCACTCTTACAACGATCCTACTGGTTTTCTAAGCTACTTTACAGACAGCTCAGTTATTTGCCACGCCGATGCTCACATCTAGATTAAATGCTCGCAAAACGCGTAGATGTTCAGTTTGTGTCCGGGGCGATACAATGTTTCCCAGTAGGTACTCAGTACATAGAGTAGATGCTCAGGTATATAAGAGTAATAAATAATGAAGTAGGTACTTCGTACTTCGAATATGAGTATCTACTAAGTTTTATTCATACCACCCAATGTCTCGCTTCAATGTATGATTATGTTGATTATGAGCATAACGCTGATCAACTTCCATATCCGAATTACCCATGAAATAAATCAATGCGGTTTGCACCTGAGGTAGTTCGTCGCACATTTGATTCGTGGACCTATGTGAGGTTCTCGTCTTCTCGGCATTTTAATGAACTTCATAAAACGACACAGAATTATTTTCACAGTCAATCAAATCTGTAAATTTTGTCTTGAGAATTTTAAAATATTGAAAACTTCAAATTAAATCCTCGAATAACGGTAAAGTTTGAGGTTTTGTCAAAACCAACAAAGTGAATATAGGTAAATAGATTGGCAGATCAAAATGAATAAGAAACTTTCGCAATATGTAATTAAATTTAACCAAGACTTTTCTTAAAATAAACGACGTTTTTTTTTACGAAAAAACAATGAACGATTTCAAATGCAATATATGTACTTTTCACAATCACACGGAAGAATTAGTTTTGTATGACACGTCAGTTAGACGACAGGTCCGTCAGAGACGCCAACTATTGACAGTAATTCGAAGTGCCGATTCCCATACAAAATGTTTAAAATTTTTTAATTTTTTACTGTTCTTTTAAGTTATCCTTATTTTTTTTATTTATAAAGCATCCCCGTAATATAAAAAATATTTCAAATCGGTCAAGCCGTTTTTGAGTCTTAGCGTGACTAATAGGAACAGCAATTGATTTTTATTTTATAGATGATTAATAAATGGGGGTTGGTGGTAGAATGGTGAAAATTTAGGGTTGTGTGTATTTTTTGATGTCAAATCTTAAAAAAATAAAAATAAAAAAATTTGTCAAAAAAATAGACAAAAATTTTTTAGGGTGGGCCACCCTTATCACTTAGGGGTTTAAAAAATAGTTTACAACCTATTGTCAGACCTACCGAATAGACATAAAAAATTTCATACAAATCGGTCTACCCATTTCGGAGAAGTTCGGTTACAAACATTGTGACGCGAGAATTTTATACATAATGCATTATTATTTTAGAACAAATTTCATTACCATAAAAAAGGTTATACTGACGCGGACTTTTCTTTAGAACTTTTAGAGGGGAACAATTTCGTTATACATGATTTTTACGTAACTTTAACCGTTTAAGCAGCGTAAGCAACGGAAGCTGTCAAAGGAGGAATAATTTTCCCGTTTTTCCGAATTTTTCATTGCTACTTCGCTCCTAATCATCGTAGCGTGATTTTATATAGCCTATATGTAGATATGATACATGGACTATCCAACACAAAAAGATTTTTTGAATTTGAACCAGTAGTTTCTGAGATTAGCGTGTTCAAATAAACAACAGCTTCAGCTTTATTATAAAAGTATAGATTTATCATTAAAATCAAGTTTATTTTGTTTGTTATTAATTTTCTCAATTTTTTTGTTATGTAACCCCTACATCAAATTACATTTTCATATGCAGAAAAATAAGCGTTATCAAATAATGCAATCAAAATTATAACTTCCTATTTAAAAAAATCATTGATGACGTCATAACTTTTACAAATTTGACGTACTTTTTTTTGACCCGTGTCAAAAGATGGAGAGTAAAATTAAAAGCTTGACATGTTTTTGCATTTTTTTTTTCCAAAAATAAATGCTGCGCTTTTTATGCATTTTGTACATTAGTTTATATTATACCTACTTGATAATATTTGAAAAAAAAAGAAATTGTGAATAATGAAGATTTTCTTCTGCATAGCATGTGGGGATCTTGCATGTTTGTACAAATATAGAAGCTAGCCCTAGTACATCGAAATCTATATTACCAAGAAGATCTGCACAGTTTGTTCCATTAGAAACCAGAGAAGCAAGAGAACGAGTACACATCTAGAAGATACTGAAAGTAACATTTGATGACGGTGAAGAAAAAGCAACATATTCGCAACATATTCGCAACCCATTCTGGATATGTTCCATCACATTTAAATGATAAAAACTTTAAAAATTTCTTCTGAATTCTGTCTGGGATCATATGCTGCGTCATATACAGCACGTACCAAATTAAAAATACGTTTTCTAACCTAGAGAACAAAGACATAAAACATAATTTTTATCAAGTTACCATTACAGAAATACTTAGATACCCTCATGAGTCATGATAAAGCCTAAGGACTTGCAAGCTGTGTTCAATGTGTGAATTAAACGTTAAGAATTCATCACATATTACACTAAGATTCTTGCTTGACTTTTTCTTAGTAGTAGAAAATCCATCAATTGAATATGAAAATTCATTGTGGGTATTTTTATGGGAAAATGATGTTAAGAAACATTTTTTTAAAGATACTATTATTACACCACGGGCACTGCACGATTTTGTCAAGATTGGCTTGCAAATGTAGCGTATTTCCTATACAAGAAATGTTTGAGTATATTTTGTGGTGGTCGGCATAAGCAAGAACTAGACAACTGGCATATAATATAGCAGGTCATTTATGAATATGTTGAAAAGTAACGATCCAAGATTAGAATCTTGCGGAACGCCGCTATTAGATAAATAGGACCTGACGCCATTATAAGAAATATAATTGAAGCGACTATCATTGTAAGGACGCATTAATTTTAAAAGTGCAACTGGGAAACCAAAGTTACTAAGTTTAACAATTAAAATTCTCTGTGAGATCCAATCAACGGCCTTGTAAACATCAGTGCAGATGGCATCAATTTGACCTTGAATATCGATTTCTTCGGCTAGTGTCTGACATAGCATAGATAAATTAGTGTGTATAATAAGAGTAGATCTACATTTTACGAAACCATTTTGGTATGGTGATATGTAATGAAAAGTTCGATGAAATAGATTTTGGACGGTAGTTGTTGAGAAGTTGAGAACTTCCTTTTTTGTGAGTGAATATTTGTTTTTAAGGTCATGTCATG